CAACCATAGCGCGCTGATAAGTAGCCCCTGCATTCTTTAGTCCAAATGACATCATTCTGTATCTAAATGTCCCCAAGGAGTAATAAAAGCGATTTTTTCTTTATCATCGACATCCATGAGGATTTGATTATACCCTGAATATCCATCCATGAATGAGAATGTATGATACTTGGTTGTATTATCAACAAGCACATCAATCTGAGGAAGTGGGAAATCATCCTTCGGACAAGCTTTATTTAAATCCTTGTAGTCTACACACACCCGAATTTTTCCATCCTTTTTAGGCACAGGCACTACGTTGGCTACCACGTTGGCTACCCAATCTGGGTATACTGAGACTTCTATAAATTCTGCCTCCAACAACTTTGTCACCTCTTCTTTAATTTTTAGGGATATATTTGGACGCATCCTCCTTAACTTCTGCTTTTTTGGTTCAACATCTGGGTACAAGGGAATTTTATGTGAGTCCATGCAAAGACATCTAGATACTCTTTGAATAATTGAATCATCTTTTCCCGCTCGGGAAGCCTCCGGTGCACCACGCCAAGTCCTGCACCACCCCGCGCACCTCCTCTCCTCGGGCACCAAGTCACATTGTGTCAGGTGCGCCTCGCCGGGGCACCAAGTCAAGCATCCAAGGATTATGGGTAGAGTAACGATACATAAAATGCTTCTCCTTCTAATGGGGGGAGGTATTTATAGAGGGATGAGATATCTGCTCTGCATGGGTTGATGAGTGGGGGTCAACCCTCCTTTGGATCAGCTAAGGGAGGCTGACACTGCTGTAATAGCAGTGATACAGTCTCTGCTTCGGCGATGTCAATGTATGATGCTGGAGGTTACTATTTATAGTGTCTGGGGTGGTCTCCCATGGGATTAGAATCCCTCCTTGGTGTCTCACCTAGGGGTGCAGTCGCCTTGGGGGCAAAATGTATGGAGGGTTGGTAGGGCTAACATGGAGGGAGGGAGAAGGCTTAGGCTCAAGTCATTGGGCTGTATAGAAATGGGCCATCTGGAACTGGAGCCCCCCAGCTTGGTAACAGCGCAGCTTGGTGTCAAGGTAGATTGTCTTGGCGTCTGGCGGTCTGACTAACTGGTAGGTCACATGATTCCTTGGCGGTCCGATGAGATATTAGGAACCTTGGCAATCTGGATGAGAGCTTGGCGTCTGGCGATTTGACTAACTAGTAGGTCACATGATTCCTTGGCGGTACGATTGGACATTAGGAATCTTGGCGATCTGGAGGAGAGCTTGGTGTCTGGCGGTCTGACTAACTGGTAGGACACATGACTCCTTAGCAACTTTCAGAGTTGCCACGTGTCTTTTGAAGGGAAAGTTGGCTTTTCGGTTTTCGAGGGTTTGTAATGATGGGTAATGATAAGTCTCTTAATTGAGACTTAGAACATACGATTTATATTGCAAATGAAGGGAAATGAATTGATTTTGTGAAGAAAATACCCCTACTTTGTGTAAATTGTCTTTTGTTGGTTAAAAATGTTAATGGGTTGATTTTTTTGTGTTTCAGGCCCAATTGTTGTTAATTCTTCCTTGCAAAAAGGAATGAAGAAGAATTAGGCCATTCCCTTGCTGATCAGTAGCCCGAAACGCCCAAAGTGAGGAAAGAAAAGAATTGGGCCGGAGGCAATTAAATCAATCAATGGCCCAAGGAGGAAAGAAGCAAAGAAGAAAAAAAAAGAAAGAAAGGGAAACAAGAGACAGATCAGAATCGTGAAGAAAGAGAAAAGAAAAAGCCCTAGCACAGACCATCGTGTAAAATCCATCTCAAGCCCTCACCATCCATCACGGTTTCTTCTTGGAATTGAGCAAATAAACCGAAACACCCTCTGATTTTCATCCTAGACAAAGAACCTTAGCCTTCCATCACGGTCCAGTTTTTGAACCGAACCAACCCACAACACAACCCTACCCGATTCGGTTGATGACTCAGAAAACTCCAAACAAGTGATGAGCTGGAGGTCGTTAGTGGCTGGAGCTGCTTTTGTGATGCGTTGCTGAATCGTACAAGGGACACCCACGATCGATTGGAGCAAGGAGCGTACGTTTGGAGGGGTGATTTAGGAGTCAGCTATAAAAAAGGGAAAAAAGCATTTGTAGGGGGATCTTTATCTTTTCTCTCTCCCTCTCTTGCTTAATTTTATTTTTCTGCTCTTTGGGAAAAAAATTTAGGTTTTATGTTTTCCATTCCTTAGCATTTTTCTGTTTGTAATCTTTTATGAGCACTGTTTCAGGACTATCGGCTGTTGATAGTTCCTGAGTTTTTATTTTTAGTACATTTTAAAGTTTCTGTTTTTATGAAATCTTGTTGTATGTTAGCTCATCAACCTGTGGTGATGAGCTAATTTTTTTTGAGAGTTGGGTTGAAAAAGTACCCGGAACTCACTGTTATTAGATGATGTTTTAATGTTTACAGGGTTGTTTTTCAGCTTGTTTACTGTGCATGTTTATTGCTGAGTTTGTTATGTGATGATCACACATAGTCAGCTCTTAGTGGTATGAGATTATTGGGAAATAACTCACACTAGACCCCACTGTGAGCACATGGAAAGTTGAGAGAAAAAAATCTCTCAATGGGTATGGCTTCAGGGATGAAGTTACCCCCATGTAACTTGTGAAAATGGTTCTTCAAGATCCTATGACAACAGTGACATAGGGATATGCCAACTGTTGTCAGTGGAAGAAAACTGTTGTTGGGAAACAACAATTACCTTAATATTTTCGTTAAGCTGGGAGCAATTTTTGTTCTTTGTTAAAGCATCCTAATGACAAATGAGGGAAGGGGAAATTGACACCCAACTCACTTCCAAACTCTGTTTTGAAACCAATTTTTGTCACTTGTTATTTTTATCCAAATCTGAAATTATTTGTCTGTTTCAAAACTTAAAAGAAAATCATTAAAAAAAATATTTTACAAGTCTTTTAATTAAGTTCTTTTTTCTAGGCTATAGTTCAAAAGATCCTTTCACCAACTAAGTTCACTGTTTTAAAAAGAGAAACTCTCCACAAAAACACTTTCAGTACATTAGTTTAAAATAGTCATAGAAATTAATTTTTTTTTTTAGTTCCTATATCAATTACCAATTTATTTCAAGTTAGAACGCAAAGATCCTTGTGGGAACGATAACTGCGACTCACTAAAGCCCTATACTACTTGTTGTCGCGTATACTTGCGCGCATTACTTGCATAACTGTTAGCAAGGCAACAAGTTTTTGGCACCGTTGCCGGGGATCGAGGCGTACATGATCAGATTTCTTTGTGTGCTTGCTATTTCTGAACTGCTTATTTTTGTTGTTTTTAGTTTAGCTTAATTTGAATTATGTTTCAATATTGTTTTAGTAAATATTACTGTAGTTCGTGAATATTGGTAGATTAAAATTGTTGTTTTGTTTCATATTCTGTTTTATTTTATGTCCTTTAATTTTCTATTCTGTTGTTTCATAGCTAGTATTTTGTTTTGTAATTTTGTAGTTTCAGTTTTTTATTATTAGACTCATTCGATTATTTTGGATTTATTAGTACTGTGTTACAATTCTGTTTGGTTGAGAATATTATTGTGAACTGTTTTGGGACTTTTCTGTTTGCAGGTTCTTGTTTGTTTAATTTTTTTATTACACAAAACTAAATAGTAATCTAAGTTGTTTTAGTTAGTTAGGTTCATTTTTTTTAGTTAAAAAGGGTGCATGAGTGCAACTCCACACCCGTTCTTAGATTTTTTTGATCCAGAACCTGAAAGAACCTTTAGAGTTAGGAGAAGAGCCCATAGGCAAATCCCAATTCCAGATTTTGTAGAGATGATGGATGATTTAGGAAATGGAAATAGGAATGATGGGGTAGGAGGACCTGCAAGGATAGAGAACACACCTGTAATAGATGACAATGAAAGGTCCATGATGGACTTCATCATACCTGTTTTGGATGAATTAGATCCAAGCATTGCCCAACCTGTGAATGGAGTGCCCTTTAAGCTAGAACCGGTGATGTTCACCATGCTCCAAAACATGGGGCAGTTCCATGGTCTGTTGATGGAAGACCCACACAAAGACCTTAGGAATTTTATAGAAGTGCCCAACACTTTTAGGAATCCTAACATCTCAGATAATATGCTGAGGTTAAAGCTCTTCCCTCACTCACTGGCTGATAAAGCCAAAGAGTGGTTGAACTCCCTTCCATCCAACTCCATAACTAATTGGCACACACTAGCTGAAAAATTTATCATGAAATTTTTCCCATCTAACAAGAAAGTGCAAACTAGATGTGATATCACCAACTTCATACAGAAGGATGGTGAGACCTTAGTGGATGTGTGGGAGAGGTACAAACTCCTTCTTAAGCAATGCCTCAACAATGGTTTACCCTCTTGGGCAGTGTTACAGACCCTGTACAATGGACTGAATACTCAAAACAGAGCCTTAGCAAATTCTGCTGCTAATGGCATGTTTATGACCATGTCCTTCAACCAAGCCCATGAGTTGTTAGAACAAATGACTCAAAATTATGCCCAATGGCCTGAAGAGAGAAATCAGTCTAGGAGAGTGGCTGGTTTACATGAAATAGATCTTGTAACAGCCTTTTCAGCCAAGTTTGATGCACTGTCCACTTTGGTGAGATCCCAAGGACAAGCCATTGAGGTAAAATTGTCTCAGCCTCAAGTTCCAATACCTACACCACAAGTGCCAGTGACCCAACCTCAAGTCAATGCAGTGAACACAGGTGAAACTTGTGTTTGCTGTGGTGGGCCCCATTTGTTTGGTAGCTGCCCATCCAACCCAGAATCTGTGTATTATGTGGGGAACCAAAATAGGAACCAAAATAATTTTTCCACTAATTTTAATCAAGGATGGAGGCAGAACCAACAGCCTCAATATTTCCAAGGGCAAGGGCAGCAAGCTGGCCCCTCTAATGCCCAAACCAAAATGCATTTTCCCACCCCAGAACTACCAACAAACTTCAAGGCAGCAAGCTGTTGTTCAACCTAGTGAGATGCCTATTGCTCCACCTTCTTCCTTAGAAGCTTTGTTAAGGGAATATTTGGTTAAGAATGAGACTAAGCAGAACAGTTTGGAAGCTGTTATCCAAAGTATTCCTGCATCTTTGAGGAATATAGAATCTCAACTAGGCCATTTAGCAAACACTATGAATACCAGACCCCCTGGTACCCTGCCTAGTAACACTGAAGAGCCTAGGAGAAATAAAGAGCAATGCAATATGATAGAGCTCAGAAATGGAAGATCTGTAAATCTCCACAATAAAAAAAAGAGAAGAGGAGAACATGCAAAAAGAAAAAGATGCAAATTTTGAACCTGTTCAGAATTCTGTTGTTCATGACAGCCCCCAAGGGGCTGCGCATAGTGACACCTTGCCCATTTTGGTTGAATCTGACAATCAGACCCCTATAGATGAGCCTTTAACGAATATTTCCATGGAGAAGTCCATGCCAAAGGGTCAAGCAACCAAGTCAAATGTTGAGACACCAGTTGTCAAAAATAGACCCCCACCACCTTTTCCTCAAAGGTTACAAAAACAGAAACAAGATAATCAGTTTAGGAAATTTTTAGACCTCCTAAAACAGTTGCATGTCAACATTCCATTTGTGGATGCATTGGAACAAATGCCCACTTATGTGAAATTCATGAAAGAAATTCTTTCAAGAAAAAGGAGACTAGAAGAGTTTGAGACTGTTGCTCTTACACAAGAGAGCAGTCAATATCTGCTTAGTAAGATACCTCCTAAACTAGGAGACCCAGGAAGTTTTACAATCCCATGTACCATAGGAGACCATTACATAGGAAGAGCTTTGTGTGATTTAGGTGCTAGTATCAATTTAATGCCTCTGAGTGTGTACAAAAAACTAAAGGTAGGAGAGCCAAATCCTACCACTGTCACCTTGCAGTTGGCTGATAGGTCCCTAGTTTATCCTGAAGGGAAAGTAGAGAATGTCTTGGTGAAGGTAGATAAGTTTATTCTCCCAGCTGGTTTTATAATCTTAAACAATGAGGAAGACTGAGAGGTTCCAATTAATTTGGGAAGGGCTTTCTTAGCCACTGGTGGGGTTGTCATAGATGTAAAAGAGGGGGAGTTAGCAATGAATGTGAATGGAGAGCAAGTCAAGTTTAATATCTTGAAAGCCATGAAATATCCAAGGGATATAGAGAAGTGTTCTAGGATGGATATCATTGACTATGTGGTCAAAGATAAATTTTTGCATGAGTCTTCATTAGACTCTTTACAAAATTCTGGTTTCGAGGGTCTAGAAATCAGTCAAACTGATTCCAAGGAAGTAGTTAAGTGGTTAAATTCCAGAACTGATATGGTTTGGAAAAATAAAAATTTTGAGTCCTTGGAATTAGCAAAGAGAGGGTTAAAACTTCCTAAACCCTCAATTGAAGAGCCACCTGTATTAGAACTCAAGCCTCTGCCTAATCACCTTAGGTATGCTTACTTAGGCGAAAAAGACACCTTGCCTGTTATAGTATCCAATCTGCTCACTGTGTTAGAGGAAGAACAGTTGCTGACTGTTTTAAAAAAATTTAAGAGGGCTATAGGTTGGTCTTGGGCAGACATAAAAGGAATTAACCCTTCCTATTGCACACATAAAATCCTTTTTACTGACCCAACCAGCAGCTCTAGAGAGCAGCAAAGAAGGCTTAACCCAATCATGAAGGAGGTAGTAAAAAAAGAAATTATTAAGTGGCTGGATGCTGGGATCATACTGGGTTAGCCCAGTACAGTGTGTCCCAAAAAAGGGTGGGATCACTGTTGTGGAAAATGAAAAAAAAGAATTAATACCCACTAGAACTGTCACTTGGTTGGAGGATCTGTATGGACTACAGAAAACTCAACAAAGCCACTAGGAAATACCATCTCCCCTTGCCTTTCATTGACCAAATGCTAGATAGATTAGCTAGTAAGGAATATTACTATTTTCTAGATGGCTATTCACGGTACAATCAAATAGCCTTAGCCCCCGAGGACCAGCCAAAGACCACTTTTACTTGTCCCTATGTCATCTTTGCCTTTAGGAGAATGCCCTTTGGGCTGTGCAATGCACCAGCCACCTTTCAAAGGTGCATGATGGCCATTTTTACTGACATGATAGAACAGTTTGTGGAAGTCTTCATGGATGACTTCAGTGTCTTTGGGGACTCTTATGAAGAGTGTCTAAGAAATTTGGGAAAAGTCCTTGAGAGATGTGAGGAGACCAATCTAGTCCTAAATTAGGAGAAGTGCCATTTTATGGTGAAAGAAGGCATTGTATTAGGACATAGGATATCCAAGGCTGGGTTAGAGGTTGATAAAGGGGATAAGGTCTTTCCTTGGGCATGCTGGCTTTTATAGGATATTTATAAAAGATTTTTCCAAAACCTCTAAGCCTCTTAGTCATTTGCTGGAAATTAACACCCCTTTTCATTTTGATGAGGCTTGTCATAAAGCCTTTGAGGAGCTAAAGCAGAAATTAATTTCTGCTCCCATCATAATAGGCCCTGACTGGTCACTACCCTTTGAGTTAATGTGTGATACAAGTGATTGGGCAGTGGGGACTGTTTTAGGACAAAGAAAAAATAGAGTTTTCCACTCTATATCCTATGCCAGTCGAACCTTAAATGGAGCCCAATTGAACTATACTGTGACTGAAAAAGAACTTTTGGCTGTGGTGTTTGCCTTTGACAAGTTTAGATCCTATTTGGTAGGCACCAAGGTCATTGTGTATACTGATCATTCTGCCATAAAATATTTGGTGGAAAAGAAAGATTTCAAGCCTAGGTTGATTAGATGGGTTCTTCTCCTTCAAGAGTTTGATATGGAAATTAAGGATAGGAAAGGAACTGAAAATCAAGTGGCTGATCACTTGTCTAGGCTTAATGAAGGGCAGCAAGATGAAATAGTAGTTGAGCAAGCCATTAAGGAAACTTTTCC